CGATGAATGATCCTCATCGAAAAATAAGAATGAATGTATAGGTACTGGGGAAACAATCCAACTAGGGGATTGTTTGACTAATCCACATGGAAGAATCCTCAATTGACCATGTGGTTAGGGAACGAGCCGTCCAACCAGGGGACTGGGCTCACCAGCATGTATAGCAGAATCCTCAATACTCGTACGTCTGTGACAAGTCCTACGCAAGCAAACTAACCCCGCTAAGGGTCTATGAAACACCCTGACAAGGGTGCCCAGGTTCCCACAAATCCAAGTGTCCCAACATTCCAAGTATCTAATCCAAGTATTCCAAATCTGGGGAGGTACATAGGGTAGTGCTAATAGCACTCCAAACTGACATAAACCACAACCTACTCTCATTCCATAATCTCTTACCAACAACCCCATGTACCCAACACATATCAAAGTATAAATAATCACTCTAAAAAATAACATATATCCATTCAAAATAATCACAATCCACAAATATTCGAATATACTTCAAATATTTTCATAATAATATTATATTCAACCTTTAAATAAATAATAACTCAATAATCAAAGAAACCATTATGCATATTTTTCTATCCTTGAAAATAATAATTATTGTTTAAAAACAAAGTCAACTCACAAATAATCCCACGTTGCTTGACCCTAAGAGGGTCTCGCCTGTTGCGTACGCTGGGTCGGAGTATCTATTTAAAAACACAAGGGCTACATTAAAATAAAATACTTCGAATGAGAACTTTAAAATAAATTCCTAGTTTTTCCGGGATTCAAAGTGTGAGCAATGAACGAAAAGTTTCTAAGGTCCAACTATGTGTTTCGAGTGGTGGAATAACCTTAAAAGACGCTCGATCAACCGAGTGGTCAAACCTCCCAAACTTGGTTAATCGGGCCCGCAGGGCCCAAGACCTTCAATTTCCGATTTGAAAATTCCTACGAGTTTAACAAAGCTTACTAAACACGTCCTGCAAGTTTGGTCCAGATCGAGCTTTCACCAAATTATTGGGATAGGTGCACCGTAGGTAGACAGAAGCTTTCACCAAATTAAAGGTCGAGGTCGTTGAATAAAACTTTTTGAATTGATGGTGTAAAAGGAATTTGATGTGTTGACTAAGAACTTTTTGAACCGCAAATATCCAATGAATCACACTTTTTTTAATTATCATTATGAAAGCAATTTGTTGTTACATATAGCTCATCATTGTCCTATTAAAATAGGAGAAAATTCTACCTCAAACTATCTTTGGTACGTGCAACTGGATCTAAAGAACCAGAAAGAAAAGGAGAAAAAAGAAGTATGTGTCGCTGTTTGTCTTATTCATGCCAACCCAAGTCCATACTGGCGTGCACCATTTGTGTAAATACCGAGGAAGAGGGTAGGTAGAAGAAATTATTTCAATCATTGAGCTTCTTGCTATATATAGCCATCAACAAAAAGAAGAAGAACAAATCATTGAACCGACTTGCTCTTTTTTGCATAGCAGGTGCGAATTCCCTTTATTTTTTTGTTTTTTAATTATTGGTTTTTCAATTGTTAGCATTTTCTTGAAGATTTTAGTTTCTTATGTTTCAATGGTAGTTAGGAATTCTGAGCCTCTGCATTGAGATACTACGCATTTACCTGCATTTCGCTAAATTTAGGACATTAAAATAATCTAATCTTTTAGAACTCGACACATCATCAAGGTTTTTTTCCTTCTCTAAACAAACGTTAACTATTGTTGTTAAACAATATTTTAGTTACTCAGTGGCGGATCCAGGATTCAAAAGTCAAGTAGGCGAAGCTTATGTTAAAAACTCGACGGTACGAGTGAATTTCATTAATACACATAAAAATATACACCTAACTAGACATGAGTGACATACTAAGCCTTATCCTAAAATATGCATCTCTATACGAAACAAAGTTTTCATATGTGTGGGGGCTTCTCACAACATATAAACAATAAAAATTCAAATTCTCACAAGACATACAAAAACCCAAAAAAAACCATTCATTACAATCATAATTGTCCTCGACTAATTTTCATATTTTGAAATCATAAAATTAAATTAAAATTCACCAACACAAGTTCACAAGTTCACAATTGCAAAAAAGGGACATACAATTACATACTAAGCAAGAAATTTTATAAGGAATAGACAAGTACATACTTAGAGTTGAATAGCGATTAGCAAATATCTCTAAAAGCCCAATACAATCAATAGAAAGAAGAAATCAAAATTTCACAAACTAAAAAGAACATAGGTAGAGATAAAACAAGAGAAAGATTAACAAACTGTAATTAAATAAATTAAACTAAGTAAATTTGATATGGAGTTTGAGAGAAAAACTCACAAGCAATAAAAAAGTGTGATACATGTCTGTGCCAAGAAAAGAGAAAAAAAATGATAAATTTTTAACAATTTATGTCAAAAGGTCATACATAATAATAATAGGTATAAACCTTGGGGGGTATGTTTTTCTTTTCTTTATTTTTTCTTTCCCACTTGTTTAGTCTAGGAGCCACATGATTGTACTTTTGAAGTGGTGTATAAATCATATATCTTAATAATAGAGTAGGAGGCAGTGTAATTCTAAAGTGGGCCCCACATGATTGTATATGGGTAATTATTTATTTGGGAAAATTTGGAGTAGGTGGCAGCCTACTCAGCCCTTGGCGTAGGACCGCCCCTGCCCACAAATAATAATCTAACCCATTATACTTTACACAGAACAAAGAAAGAAAGAAAAAAAAAACATGCTCTAAATAAGAGTTTAGTTACCCACAAATAAAACTTAACTCTTCTGTTTAGTGAAATACGGGTAAATGCTAAACCAAGGTGGTTGGTGTGAGTGGTTCGGCACTATCATTCCTTAAGAGAGGTCAGGGGTTCGATTCCTGCTCTCGTATGGAGTCACCACTTTGGCCAGCACTTTACCCCTTACGGGCCGACCCGGTGTGAGCGGGGATTAGTCTGGGTTGTGGTTAAGGTTTAAAGATGCCACCCATAGTTGGGGCCCATCCAAGACCACCTTGTGGTTCAAACAAAAAAAAAAAAAAAAATACAGCTAAATGCTTATTGGGTTTTGTTGATTTACTTATTTTAGTTTTAAGTTTTTTAAATTTTCAAATAAGAATTCACATGGTCTAAAAGAAAATTGATGTGTTGACTTAGAACTTTTTTAGGTCCGAGCCAAACGTTTCGTAAATATATTTAAAGGAAGCTGTAAGCTAACCTGTCGTCTAAAGGAATCATACTTTCTTTCTTTTTTAATTTAATAATTGTCATTAGTAAAGATTTTTTTTTTTTTTTAATATGGAAGAAATTAAATCTACTTCTTCTTACATATAGTTCATCATTCTTCTATAAATAGGAGAAAATTTATACCTCGAACTTTCTGCGTTGAGCTTTTCTCTGGTCAGCTACCAAAGGCAAAACAAGCTTAGAGGTGTGCTTCAATCACTTCCATCTCTTTTCTTTTTCAATTCAAATTAGGTTGTTAATTACATATGTTCATGGTAGTGGGGGAATTGGAATTAAACAAAGGTTATGGGATATTGTAATTTTCTTCTCTCTCTTTAATGGAAATTTGGTCTTTCTCGCAATGTTTGATTGGAAGCATAAGATCTAAATAATTTAAAGCAAAGATCACCTTGTTTGGATCCTCTTAGAAGTCCTCAAGAGGTACGGGACTGAGCTTGACACATAAATTTTTTCTTGCAAGACTTAGAATTCCCACTATATTCTCAAGACATCCACAATATATATTGATCCAAACTGTCTAATTTAACAAAACATCCATGCAAAACAAGAATATATGAAAGGTTCTGTCAAAGTCGAAATAGTTTAACCATATGACTATCATAATGATTTTTCATCTATTTAATTAGCATACAAGAAGTACATGACTAAACAATTGTAATTAGATTTTGTTGGTTTTTTGTAAAAGAACAAAGTCATCATGCATAGAGGTTTCATTATTAGTTTTTATTTTTTTATATTTTTTTATAACAAAAAATTTAATTTAGTGGGAGCATGCATCTTGGAGTTTTAATGTTGAAAGATTTGTTGATTGTTCTGCCAGAATTATATAACGATCATCATCTAATACAATCACAACAGGAAAATGGAAGGAAGCAATCATGCTGTTCCAGCTGACATAGAAAACCAATACATTCCATTAGAAAGTTCCATGAGAAAGGAACTGGGTAGCTTATCTCCTCTATCCTCTTCAGGTTGTATTTACAGAGTTCCTGAGCGACTAAGACGTGTAAATGAAAACGCATACACACCAAACCTAGTCTCTATAGGTCCACTCCACCATGGCGAGAAAGCCTTAGAAGTCATGGAAGAGCACAAAAAGAGGTACCTACAAGATTTTCTATGTTGGACCAAAGTAAGCTTGGAGGATTACATAATGAAAATAAGGGACCAAGAAGCAAGATTAAGAAGTTGTTATCCAGAAACCATTAAGTTCAGCAGTGATGAATTTGTAAGAATCATTCTAGTGGATGCCACGTTCATCATTGAGTTCTTGTTGAGGTTCAGCGGTGTCAAGGAGATACTGGACAATGAAAATGACCGCATATTTAAAAAACCAATGATGTTGCTGGATCTATTGCCTGACCTGCTTTTGCTTGAAAATCAACTGCCATTCTTCATTCTTGAGGATCTTTTTGACCTACAAGAAACTACACTCTCTTCTGATTTTGAGACTAGGCTTTCAATAACTGATCATTTTCTCCTATTCTTAATTTCTTTATCAAGTCTCGTTGGCGGCGAAGATCTAGAGGTCAATAAGAAGAGAATAAGTTCTTCTCCTTATAAAGCAGAACATTTTCTGGATCTTATAAGATTGGTATGCCATTGCCAACCACTCATGAGATCAGAAGTACATGGAAATGCTTTAACCATACCCAGCATTACAGACCTATGCGATGCGGGAGTGAAGCTTAAGGTGATATCAAGTGAAAACAGATTTGACATACGATTCAGTAATGGGATTCTGGAAATTTCAAAAATGACAATATGCGATGACACAGAGATTTCATTTAGAAATCTTCTTGCCTTTGAACAATGTTATTGCATGCGTAAGTCCTGTTATGTAAGTGATTTTATGAACGTCGTGGGCCGTTTAGTGAAGAGCCCAAAGGACGTGGATTTGCTTGTTGAACATAAAATTTTTGAAAATATTCTAGGTGACAGCAGACAGGTGGTTACTCTGTTTAGCAACATTGGCATTGGGGTTTATGCATCTGAAAACTTCACGTTTCCTGATCTTGGTGAAGGCCTGAACAAGTACTGCAGTTTGACGTGGCCCAAAATGATGACAAATTTGAGGCAAAATTATTTCAACACTCCTTGGGCAGCTATCTCTGTCATTGCAGCTGCTGTTCTCCTCATACTCACCATAATACAAACAGTGTGCTCTATTATGTCTGTTGCTGAGCATGGACGCGGGCCATGAAAAGTCTCTCATTTATCGTGTTCTCTATATCCTTTTCCTCCCCGTTATGTTAGCAAGCTCAAGTTTCCTTAAAATAAGCGTGAGAGAGATGTATATATTGGTTTCTTTGCGAGTATGAAAAAATTATTATATGGTACTGAAATACATATTTATGGTAACTTTTTCTCTTGTGTGTGGTAATGATATTCATATTTGTGTTGAAATATTTATAGCCTTTTCTTGTTGGACGATCTCGAGTAGATCACATTATAGGTATTAGAATTAAGGGGAAGTTATATATCTACCGGTTTTTCTTGGGCACACAACGGTGGGTACTGCATATATGTACTTAGTACGTAAGTGTCCTCAAGAAAATTCGATATATCTACACCTCTAAAAGTAGGTAAAAGAAGTACAATTAAATTTCAAAGATAAAAACAAATATGTTCAAAGACAAAAAATAAAAAATTGACATGGACAAGAGTTTGATGAATCACCATGGTTTCACACCTATTTTAAAAGGGTAATTAACTTAAGGTATGACTTTAGAACTTTCCATTCAACACTAATGATTGATAAAATGATTAATAAAATGGATAAGATAATCAGTCCACAAAAATTCAAGAGGCCCCTCTAAAAGCAGCAACATCTCCAACACAACACTTCCTTTGTGACACATAAAAAATCTCAAAATTCATTCTTTGTTTATTTCATGTTACTCTTGCATTCCATCTACTGGCATGCAATAACAGTTAGGATTTTACTAATGGAACTACCAAATCTTCCAAACAAATTATCGTCTAAATTTCAACTTACACCTACACTTCCTTAAACTCATTCGCTTATTTATTACCGTAGCAATTTTTGTTTTTTGTTTTTAATGTATTGGGATCATTGTCATGCATTTTATTGCTGTTTTTAAACCATATTCACATCATTACAACCCAAATATATATATTATTTCTTTCCTTGTAACCCTACCGATTACTAGTGTTATCAATAGCTTTATTTTTTCCCTTATGAAGAACACTATATTCAAATATTTGTACACTAATAATAACTATACCAATCACTGAACTATCAGTGCAACCCTTGTGTATATAAAAATAGCAATAGAATAGCATTAAAACTGGTGGATAAACAACAATCAGTGACTAATAAAAATGATTATATATATATATATATATATATATATATCAACAATATATAAATACCAACGAAATTGAATTTATAACAAACTGTAATTTGAAATATAGTAAACAATAAATAAATAAACTGACTTGAATTTGAGATAGAGGCTTGCATATTTGATGCAATATCCTAAAGACAGTAATTTCACCACTTCTCGGTGCTTGAAGTTCTATAGGTGACTGCCTCCTAGGATTCAACTATCTGTATTCTAAGCCCTAGCACAAGACTTAGAATCTGGTAAACTTTGATTGTTTTCCTCTCAAACAATATGAATGTGCTTGTAGAATGCTTTTTTTTATGTGTTTTACGAATTAGGCCTTGTTTGATTTAAATAAACTTCTAAAACCTTATTAGAAGAGTCACAATTGTTAAAAAAATAATTAATTAAACTAATCCGAATTAATAAAAAATTATTCATTATAAACTAAAAAAATTAATTTAAATATGAAGTGCCCAAGTGCCCCAAGGTCCAAGGCCAATCTTTTTTATAATTAAATATTAAATATTATTTATATAATATTCAATACCCAAATCGAATTTGAAGCCTAATTGGCTTCCACTTAGTCCAACTTCTATTTACTAAGTGTGGGATTTCCACACTTATAAAGACCTCACTCTTTCTTCTTTCTACCAATATAAGACAAATGTCCTTGAATTTCATTCAAACTTTCAACAGTTGGTATGTAAGTTGATGTCCATAACATTACTGTTAAAAGTTTTTAATATATTGCAAAGGATTTGTAACCCAAGTGGGAAAATACATCTATTCCTGCAATGATTCTATGCTCTCATTTCATTCTTCGTGAAATTGAAACTTCGTGATCCATTTTGATATGGCCACACCTCAAGGGTATAAAATGTAGTTAATCCAAAAAATATAAAAGAAAACACTCTCTCAGTGGATTAACATGAAAATTTGGTGTATGCATATATATCGTGCTTCATAGTCAGCAATGGGGGTGTATTCAATTGAGATTTTAAAAGACTATTTATGGATAAAAAAGTCCAGTGGATTTTAAAAGACTATTTAGGAATGTAATGACTATCAAGATTTTTTAAAAAGATTTTTATAATCAGGATTTTTTACGTTTGGATTTGAAAAGATTTATATCATAAGAATTTATAAGATTTGAAAGGACCACATGGATTTTTTATTTTTTATGATGCTAACCGACCAACTTAGTCGGATGATGAGCAATGGCGGTCTACTTCAATGATGCACGAAAGTCAATTGGTTCAAGATAACAAAGAAATGGAACAATAAATAAAAGCAAACATTCAAAGTTACAAGAGTCAATAAAAAAGATAACAAAGAAATGAAAAATAAAGAAAAGTAAAAGCCAATACAAATTTTCCAATCTTTTAATAGCCAATTTGATGTAGCTTCATGTCATCCTAAATAGCATTTCTCCACATATCTAAAGTTATGCTAGCCCTCCATGCATTAGCATCTTCTCATTGCAGCTGCAAGCATTTCTTCAACACAAATAAATCTTGTGTTTATTGTCTTTCCTCTGTTCACTCTCTCTTGTATTTATAAGAAATGTTTTTTGGGAGCGGGAGTTTTAATTCTTTTAATAATGGGCGGCAAACAATCTCAAAAGATCTTTAGTTTTAAAAGAAAAAGAAAGGGAGTTTTATCAATTTCTGGCAGTTAGGCCCTCAATGATCATTTCCTGAGATAGTCACTTCCCTGTATTTTGATGGGGCGCCATACATCCTTTTTCCAATCTAACTGCTTTTCAAACTGTGATGGTGAGTGTGATTTTCCATTTCAGCAACTCCATGTTTCCTGCTTATCTCTCTTTTTAGAAAACACAATCTGCGTATCCTTTGAGAATAGTGTCTGCCGAAATTTTCTATATATATATATAAGGATTTTGATCTTTCTCTGCCTGTAAAAGACTGGAGAAATTTTTCTGCAAGCGTGTATTCATAAATTCCTGTAACTTCTCTTTGTGACTTTAGTTGAAATTTTTGACTTTTCAAAGTCAGGTAAGTCACATAGGTATGTTTCTCCCTTGGGCTTCTCTTTTCTTTCTTTAATTTAAAACCTGCCAAGCCCATTTTTGGTTCAAGCTCAATTTGGGTTCCTTTCGAGGCCCAGGCCATCCTTGCGGTTTTTAATAGTTTCTGGGCTTCCTATGTTGGGCTCGAAAACACGGTCTTGGCCTGATTTTGTTGGTGGTTGTCAAAATGGACGTGGGCTTTTTGACTTTGGACTGGGCGCACCAAATTTAGGCCCAAACACACTCTTTCTACATTTTCCTTGCTAAGTGACCCATTAGCATCACACAATCCACTATTGATAGCATCCATCAAGAGGTGCAACAACTCATTGGTATCGTCCATGGTCCAAGATTCATAGTTCTCTTTCTCTTTCTCTTTGCCCTTTCCTTTGTTATTTCCTTGTTGTGAATCCTCCATTAAATTACTACTACAACATATGTAATAAATTTATTAGTTATTTCACAAGAATACATATCATACCAAACAAGAAAAAAAAAGAAAAGAATAATAAACATATGTTGGTCTGGTCATTCCTTGAGTGCTATTTTATTATTAAAGTCATTGAAGAAATACAAACTACTATATATTAGTTGGATACCAAGAAAGAAAGAGAGTACTGGAAAACGACAAGTGTGTGTCCACATGTATCAAGTTTTATGGTTCCATTATCTATTCATTCTCAGTTGATTTTTCAAAACAAGCAACCATCACTGTAAGATGTCAGCATGGTTAATGGAATAAGTCAATCTCTTGGTCCTCGATAAAGATATAGAAAACGAATACCAAAATTTTCCAAAAGACAAAAACAATTGTGGCAACAAAGACGCCATATAAACAAAGACGCCACATATAAACAATAGTATTCTCGACTGGGTTGACCAAACGTGGCATGCAATAGGTAACAGCTATTGTTGCGAAGGGCCACAGACACAGACCTACGAAGCATGGAAAAGGTAGCAACTAACCCACGAAGGGCCATAGACACAGAACATATACATGAACAAATATACAGACAATAAACGCAAGAAGACATAGCACGAGAAGGAAGCAATACCTTGTTCACGAAGAGCCGAAAAAAATCTCACGTGAAAAGTCTGATGGGTTAGGGTGAGATTTTTTATAGGATTTGATATTTATACCTCCCACTAAAAAGTCACACCAATTCTATATTTAAAAAAAATCCTTCGAAATTAACAAGGTTTTGAATACCAAAAGACTTTTTGTTACTTGTTTAAAGTCTTGATTGAATACCACTAGATTTGGACACCCTCTTTAAAAAATCCTAATAGTCCTGATTGAATACTACAAGATTTGTTTAGATTATTTAAAAGTCTTAATTGAATACCACAAGACTTATTTATCCCAAAATAATCTTTTTAAATCATAATTGAATACACCCCCCTAAATTTTTAATCAGAAAGTCCCTCCAATCAGACAGGTTGGCCCAGTTGAGTCAGCAAAATTTTGGCCGTCGGATAACATACGAAGAGATTGATACACTGCAGTTACTCAGTCATCAAGGGTGGCTGTTTCTCGCCAACTCATAAAAGCTTCCAAGTCAGTGACACTTTTCATCAAATTGAGCGAAACGAAAAAACAGGGAAGAAGGAAAAATGTTGCAGCTTTCAATTCAAAGAGGTACACAAGTTAAAACAAAGATGATTTTGATAAAAAAAAAGATTTGAAATTTGATTGCAACGTGTTAATATTGTTGTGTTGCAGTGAGAAATTTGAAGGCTTTGAGGCCTGCGATCTTTGCTCTCAGAAGCTCTCACTTCTCCACAGCTGCCGAGCCGTCTTCCAAGCAGGGTAGCCCTCCG